GGAATCTTTATTTCACAGGCGCAGATTTATCTGTGAAGGGCTCAAAGCAGACGATTCCAACCAAACATTGAATTGGTCGGACAAATTGATTTCATAAGTTTAATCTTAAATAAAAACCGTTCCATGTAGTTTCTTTTCTTTCTGCGTCACCAAACAGAAACTCCTTTAGTTTATTCACAACTTTGTTCCTCTTGTGTTAACCAGTCGTCCTGTTTTGCACAGTCACAGTTTTGCGTTTGGTGCGATGGGTCAGTGTGACTGACCCCAGAGGTTTCATCGTGGCTCTCAAAGGTCAAAGCTCGTCGTCATGTCATCCGATGAACTTGGTCACATCCTGATGATGTAACTAAAGGCAGCGGCACCGTTCGACGGATAATGGAAAACCTCCGAAGGTGATAGTTAGATAATCGATTATAAACTAGCCCATTGCTTAATCAGGGCAACAACTAATGATCATTTTCTTTATTCATTTCATCTGCACAACTTCTCCTTTATCACAATGCGTCTTTTTAATGTGCGACGTTAACTTGCGTTGGAAACATTTTCCTTCCGGTGTTGTGCATACAGTTCCCACTTTCCTGTCACCAGACTGTCAACTGACAAAACGTCAGTGTCGACTGTGTAACACATTTTGAATGACCCTCCTACGCAGAATCATCACATCATTTGGGAATTGGGAAGTTCTGCTTTCACTATTTGTTATTTTTACTTAATGTTAAAACCCAGAGTTTGTCTTGGAGAAGAGGGAAGCAACACAGCGCCGATGGTGTCCGGCAACACAGACTTTTTATTGTTAAATGTTAAATCCGAAATAAATAGTGAACAAAAATTCAGGCACGACAGTTTAAGGGTGACGCATGTTAATGTTGACATGTGAACTCAGCCTCTCCTGTTTTATTCTTTTTTAGTTTTTCTGTTGCACTCTTCTCCGAACCTTCACACACATTCTGTTCCCTTAAAACTTTATTTAAAGAAAACACGAGTGCAACTTTTCTGCCTGAGTTATTTCATGTGTTTTTGTATTTAACAACACGAGAAAACCAAGAACAGCGAATTAATAAATAACAATTGAAAATAATTGTTTTTAATAAAACACAAAATGATGAAAGTCAATGCAAAATTCAAGAGAAGACATAATAATCATAAAATAAATTAGGCGGCATCCTGTTTCCGATTTTTGTCTCGACACATTTCATCTAAATCACAAACAATGTTCTCAGTTTCCTTCAGTGACAGATCCAGCCACTGAAATCTCCAACATCAGCTTCACCTCATGCATCCGGAGAGGAAAACACTCCTGTCACACTCCGTCCTCTGACACTGCCTCACTCTTACTATCAAGGAAAACCTCCTTTGGTGTATTCTCTCCTCACTCTGCAGCCACTGTGTCACTAGTCTTTTTCACTCATGTTATTTTTGCTCCTGTAACTTTCCTCCGTCGTTCCATATCTGCGCTCATCAGCCCCTGATATCGCTCCTGCACATCTGTACATCTGGCACCTTTTTATCACCCCGTCCTCCCTGTGTTCTCCAGGGAAGGTGTCTTATCTCTTTTTGAATCCGGACGTTCGTTGTCGTTATCGACAGTGTGACTGACACGGATGAATCCCAGCCGCGGCTGCTGCGGAGCGCGGGTCGTGGTGCTCTCCCGCAACGTTATGTAATCGTGCTGGTTACTTATCACAGAGGCCTTCGTCGTCACGTCCACATCACTGCTCTTCCACTGAAGCATGTGTGAAAAGCTGTAATTGGGCTGTAGGTGATATAAATCACCGATAACTTGAGCCGAGGACTCACCTCTGATGGAGGGAAACTGATAAACGTGAATCTGTGTTTTCACGCCTCGTAACATGAAATGATTTGTGTTTTATGATTCACAGACGTTTGTCACGTCATGTTGATGAATCAGGAGGAACCAGAACCACTCTGGGATCAGCTTTGTTCTTCTTCTACGAACAAACTACAATTGGATCGTGACTAATGCAAACTGATGTTTAGTTGTGATTTTCCGTCGTGCTGTCCTGATGGGCTGACGTGAGCCGGCTGATTGCAGATCCTATTTACCCCTTTGTTTCCATCGTCAGCTCCCTGCAGAGTAAAGCTCTGTCTCCGCTGCGCATCACTTTTTCTTTGTGAGTTATTTATGCAAGAGAAAAGTGCTTAAGCTCAAACCTGACTTGACAGTGGTACGTGGACGTTTGCACATATTTGAAGAGGCAGAGTCGTTTGGATTAGCGTTAGCTTTGTTTGACATTCACTCCGAGCGTTACGCCATCATGAAGTAGGCGTGTGTGTGAGTAGATTGACGTGTTGGCAGATATCGGCTCATTTATTGTGAGGCTGTGTAATCAGGGCGGTTACCATGGTGAATCTGAGAAGAGGTTGATTTCTACTCACGTCCTTTATTTCTATAAGATGTTATCAGTCAAGTGAACCTTTACGTTCATTCATATCCTTTATGTTTCATAGGTGAAAGTAATTTAGATGGAACTTTACTTTCTATGCACTCGATTATATGAAACAATGCAGGGAGCAGCCGCATAAAGATTATACAGATCGACTATTTTGTTTTTTAACACCGCTTGGCGTTAAAGTTAATATTTCAGAAAACTGCATTAGTTTTAACAAAGTCAAAATACAACCACCCTGTAGTATTTAATACACTGAAAAACAACAGCCCAGCAATAAAATACAGCTACAAATGGATTTTAAATACCTTTTGCAATACTGATACTGATATGAAGGGATTCAAAATTTTATTATACAAATTTATCGGCCAATATATACGTTTTAAAAAATATTTTACAGTTGAACTATAAACTTTATCATAAATAACAAAATGAAAAGAAACATCCAAATATAAAGAACTTGAATTGAGTTTTTTTTTAACGTAGAATAAATGCACATCTTTTTATTTTCATCTTGTTATTAGCGATGCTGATTCCAATAAACATCCGAGAACAAACATGATCTTCTTCACGTTAAGTGTAAAATAAATGTTTTCATGGGTGGCTGAACAGAAGCACTGATACTGACGTGTCTGTGAAAGGCTCATATCAGAGGATTCACACTCATCACCATGTCTTAATCAAACGTGAGCGGCTCGTCCTGTTCCCTGACGCACACCGCACCTGCAGGTTTCATCCAAAGCACCAGAAACTTTAAATATCACAATCGCAGATTACTCACAGGCTCAGAGTAGGTCGTGCTGCTGTTGATACAGAGGGTGTGTCTGCTCATTGCTTTTCACGCTCCATTTGTGTGTGTGTGTGTGTGTGTGTGTGTGTGTGTGTGTGTGTGTGTGT